TGTATACATTACAATTTAGATATACACCGAAGAGCCATTACATTATGACCACACTGCTAATAACATGTAGGACTTCCTTTAGCCCTCAAAACTGCTAGCACCCGCCGTGGCATTGATTCCACAAGGCGCTGATAGGTAGTCTGAGGTATCTGGTACCAAGCGCTCACCAACTTGTCCTGCAATTCCCTCACATTGCGAGGGGGTAGCGCGGCAGCACGAATTTGGTTTTCCAAGTAGGGTCAGAAATGCTCTATTGGATTAAGGTCAGGTGAATTTGGGGGCCACGACATGACTTGAAAGTCACTGGAACGTTTCTCGAACCAATCCATGATGATTCGACAATTATGACAAGGTGCACTTTTCTGTTGGTAAACACAATCCCCCGCAGTAAAAACTGTTGCCATGAATGGGTGAACCTGATCTGAACTATGTTCAAGTAGCTTACAGACGTCAGGGATTGTTCTATGTGGATTATGGGTCCTAATGTGCCCCATGAAAATATTGTTCCTGGGTGAGAAACCAAGAAAACCTGGGCAGCCCATTGTTATAGATGGATAGTAGTCATAATGTAATGGCTCTTCGGTGTATATATATATACTATATATGATAACCGGTATTGAACAGACGACACAATTCTGAGTTTACGGCTATCAATGTTCAACTCTTTAGCCTTGTAATTTCAATCTCAATACAAAAGACAAGGAAAATCCTGGGTCAAGCATTGGGGCAAACTAGTCTTCGTGGAGGGCCTTTATGAAGGAACTAACCCAACTTTGCCTTACATAGAGAGGAAAACCACGAAAGCCTTCCGAGGTAAGTCTGATAACAATTGGATTCTAATCCACTGCCACTAAGGATATTTTATGTCAGCACTTGGGTAGGTGCAAGCCGAGAGCAGAATTCGTAACGACCAGCCAAAGCTGGGATTCCAATTTGAGTCACCTCATGGGGTGGCGTCTATTCCATGTTGTACTCATTTGTTAGAGCCTTGGTAACTTAGTGTTTAGAGCATCAGATCCCGGTCCGAAGGAGCCAAGTTTTGAAGGCCAACGAAGGGTCCAATTCTCAAAACTGAGACCCACCGAGTTTCGTGTGATACACGTGCTCGTAAAACTTGTGAAATCTAAAGTCCTGTTGTCGATTGCTTAACAGTACCATGAGTACATGGTTCTGGAGAAAATTTTCTTTCCTTTCAGATCCGTGTGATCCGTTCCTTTCAGATGGTGCTTCCATCTATCAGCGGAGGTTTCTGAGTTACACCGCACTTTCACCTTAGCGGTGCTCTCTTAACACAAATGTTCATCCCTGACATCATTCGCAAGGCATTCGCCAATAACGAAGCGATTGTCTGAGTATTAAACTGCAAACCATATCAGAAAATGAGAAATTATCAACAAAAAAAAAAGTATTATAGTAAAATCTGGGACGATATTATGATATTTAATTATTATTTTTACAAGAGTACGAAGTACAGAGGTTTGAACTGAAATTATTTTACAATCGGTTTCAATAATTAAAACCTAAAATGAGTCAATTTTTAAATGAATTATTTTAAATATGAGTTTTTTTTTAAATTAACAATTCAAATAAATAAAAAATTGTCCCTCAGCTGTCTCTGCTTTTTAACAGTGAAATATTGGGTTGTACGGAATGTTGTTACCGTAAAAAAAATAAAAGTGAAACGCATCATGTTTACATTTTGGCTATATTTAGTAATAAATATTGGTCTACTCAGAATATTTAAACAAAAATAAATTAAGCTTTTAATTTATCCATTATTGTGCGTGGTAGATAACTTAGAATGCCGAATTTTACAATTTTAAGATTAAAAACAAACAGTATTATTTTAAAGTTGCACTTCAATTTTATTTTACTTATTTATTTTTTATTAATTTTTTTATTTGTCCTTTAACTTTTGTTTAGGAGTGTACGGGATCCATATGTATGGCTTATGGACTAGAGTCTTGCCAATGTATCAGAAGTTATCACGATCCTCTCATTCGATCATGCGAATTGTGTTGCAAACTTCCGGGGGATGAACTCAGTTGCAAGTAAGAGAGTTTCTAATATAATTTAGGAATTAAGCATTTAAATTTTTTACAAGCAGAAAAATATCCTCGATTCAAACTAATAGCTTATGATATTATATTAGTATAGAAATTAAAATTCGTTGCAGATCTTCCTTCGAATGGAACATGCCACCTTATGACGTACCGGACTTATATGCAAAACCTGGAGCACCCTGTGACAATTACAATGGTTACTGTGATATACACCAGTCATGCCGAGAAGTAAGTCCCTTTTTCGATTAACCACTTAACGAACCGTTTAAATCTAGCAAGAATATATTAAAATATATTTCGGATTAAACTTGCGTAAAGGAAATAAACTCATTTGGATTTGTTAGATCAAATTAATTTGAATTTTAATATGATTTTTTTTGATGATAGGTGTACCTTCACTCATTAGAGGCTAATAACTTGTAGTGTATCTACCACTAAAAAAATACAATCCCAATTCACTAGTATATAAGACATGTTAACTCGATTCTATGTCGGGGTACCTTCACATAGACGAAGGTTGACATTGTCGATAACAACTTACCCCCCACATTGGTGACCTTCGGACGTGATGTGAACACGCCTATCTTGGCAGCAACTCTCACTTCGATCTGAACACGCCTACTTCGATGGATAGTCCACATTGAACAGTTGACTTGCTACTTGTGACTGCGACATTATCCACCTCCTCGTGCTGTTGCTACTCAGTCTCGATCACACCAACACCTCCTAGACGGAGGAAGGCCTCAGCACGGATCAATTTAGTAGTCCGATGTGACGAAGTTAACTGCGCAGTACATGAAAAATAAGAAAGATGTCATTACGTTCGAGGTACTAAGCTGCGCAGTGGTTGAAAATACGAAATATGTCAAAACGTTTGGACTACTAAAGGACATTATTATTATGGTAACCCGTGCTGAGGCCTGCTCTTTTCTAGGAGGTGTTGATCACACGCGACGTACAACATATTCACTCGACTGCTAATGGCAACACAGGAGCGACCACGATCGTGAACTTAATACAGCTCCCACAATCAGCACTCAAAAAGTACGGTGATCTTAATACAGCTCTCCCGGCTTTTTACACAACAGCAATGAATCAGCTTGTGGTATCCATTCATTGAATTCTATCACAGATATAATTCTACTGTACTGTAGTGTATCTTCCACTACAAAAATACAATCCTAAGTCACTAGTATATAAGACATGTTAACTCGGTTCTATGTCGGGGTACTTGTACATAGACGAGGGTTGACATTGTCGATAACAACTCGCCCCCCCCCACAAACTTATTGATTTATATTTCTTTTGAAATGTAAAATAAATTCCAGTGGAATTTTGGAAAAAATACGGGGGATTGCATAGGGAGATATCGAAAGCAGCGCTTATGTCCTGTTCTCTTAGTAAAATACGAATGGCATCTCCTGTAAATATTCCTTAAAATTGACGTTTGGATACCAAATTTATTCCAGGGTTTTTCATCTGAGATAAAATTATTAACATCTAGCAGCACAAACTAAAATAAATAGTTTACCATGGATAGTTAAAAATTGCTGAAATTGATGTTAAGTATACTTACCACAGCCTTAGAAAGGGTTAAATAGCTCTCATTCAATTTTACAACGAACCCTTGCATGAACGAAAACATAAAAATATTACAAAAGTGTCTTCAATAATTATGATGTCTTATACATGCACTAAATGAGGCGTCGCAAACTTAGCTTAATTTGTGCGATAGCTATTGCGTAAAGTACTTATTTATTCTACAAAATTTAATGTCAGGACACTCAGACGTTTCTGGGGTGTTTAATTCTTATCTTTTTTTGCGAAAATGCGATTCAAGTAAATAAATAAAAGTTTCGAATATCAATTCAATGAAAATAGATCGTTTCATGTCATAGAAATAAAATTGTGGAAACAAGCACTTCTGTGAATGCATTTGTAAGACATTTAAAGGGCATATGAAATAATACTGAAACACAAATGCAATTTGTTTTGCTATCTTACTTATTTTTCTTTAAAAAATTATTTTTTGCTTTGAAAAATTATTCATACTTTTGCTGTGTTATCTTCAAAGCAGAAGTGTTTCTATTCAATTGCGAAACCAATAGAAATAGTTTTTATTTATTTATTTATTAGTCCTTTGACTCTGAACTTTTATTAAACATATTTTTCATAGTTTCCTTTTGTATTAATTTCATTTTGTGTTAATATTTGAGCGAAAACAAATACAAATGTTATCGAAGTTCGACGAATTGGGCATAATCTCGTCAAGCGTGTTAATGATTCATCATATTTTGTTTTCCTCCTCAAATAAATTTTTCACTCTCATTTTGTGTATTTTTTTACTTCAGTTTTAAAATAAAATTCGAAAAATATGTTATATAGGGCAGCATAGTTCTTCTTAGCCAGCAATGGCAACTTCTCCACAGAATTATTGCAGTGAAATTGCTAAATAACAATTTTCAATACAAATTAACGTCTGTAGCATATATCAAGCTATAAAGATTATTTTGTAATAAAAACTGTCATCGTCCAGTAAAAAAATAAATAAATAAAATAAAATAGAATGAAATGAAATAAAATAAAATAGAATAAAATGAAATAAAATAAAATAAAGTAAAAGAACTTTTTTAAAATACGATTTTTTAGGAAGTATTCGACCGATTTTATGGAATTTTGGAATTTAGTCATGTAAAATACCATTCTTTAAAATGATGTAAAAATTAGCTTGCCTTACAATTAAACATTTTTTATCTACTACTATTCTTAAAGAATAATAAAAAATTGCAAATAATTATTAACAATTATTTTCTGAATGGAATTATAATTAGATAAAAAAAATTGTTGGCAAAATTTCTTCAATTCGCTTAAAACATTTTCCAGTTATACGAAATACCCAAAATTTATTATTACCATTAAGGGGTTCAAACTTATTACTGCTCTCCTGATAAAACTATTCGGCCCCTATTTTCCAGATTGCGGCTACCCTCTATATTCTGAGAGTAAAAAATCTAAAGCCGTCGAAGAAATTATATGATTACTCAAAGAAAGTACGTTTTGTACCTGATTTCGTAACTTAAAATATCTTCTGCACTAAATAATTAACATAGTTAATAATAGTCTCGAATCATTAAGATTGAGTTCCAGAACGTGAAGATTCGTACCTAATTTCGTAACTTAAAATATCTTCTGCACTAAATAATTAACATAGTTGGTAATAGTCTCGAATCATTAAGATTGAGTTCCAGAACATGAAGATTCGTACCTAATTTCGTAACTTAAAATATCTTCTGCACTAAATAATTAACATAGTTAATAATAGTCTCGAATCATTAAGATTGAGTTCCAGAACATGAAGATTCGCACCTAATTTCGTAACTTAAAATATCTTCTGCTTTAAATAATTAGCATATTTAATAATAGCCTCGAATCATTAAGATTGAGAATGTGGAGATTCGATCATTGCATCAAAAATTATTAAGCGTGTTTCGTTTCCATTTATTTTCAGCTGAATATTATCATAAGCTAAATTTTATTCGAAAAACTGATATTGTTTTTATATTTCTTATTTTATTCTTAGAAATCTCAATTGTATTCACATTCCAAATATTATATATTTTTTATTAAAAATTGATCTTTTTCTTTTTTTTTAATTGGTTGCATATTGTGTAACACAATAAAGTAATTTAATATTTTTTCAATGAAAATTGTTGTGGTTGCTATATATTATTAACTGTCTCATGAATTAGATCGACCCATCGGGACCACTGGCAACTCTGAGAAATCTTCTGATGTCCCCTGAAGGGGTGGCCATTCTGAAGAAGTGGATTGCAGAAAAATGGTGGAGTATGCTCCTACTCTTCTTTGCAGCTTTCTTCACTGTGGTGAGTGCATTTCGAATATTGTTAAACTCTGCGAAAACCAAACGACTATGCATTCTTTACATATATTACTGCTAATTTTAGTAATCTTTACACATACTGGGTGTTCCATAATCACCGCCTTTAACAAATATTTTTAGCTCCCTTGTTAAAAATTTCGATAGAAAATGTACACATAATGAGTCGTAACTTAGGGGAAGAGAAAAAAAATAACGTCGTCAAGCTCTGAAAACGTTATTTTTTTCCTGACGAATCATTAAAGAGAAAGGTGAGAGTAAAAACACTTTAAAACTCTTCGATTGCAAAAAGAAACATAACATGTTTCAAAGGTGATTCCGCCAAAATTCCTTCAATCAAATAAGTTTAGTAGGGGGAAAATGAGAGCTACACTCCACTTTTAGAGTTGATGACCTCTCTTATTATAGTGCTATGGGATGAGCGCTTCACCCCACTAATGATCGATTACCTCTCGTCTATAGGATGAGCGCTATACCTCACTTTCTCAATATGGATAAAAGTTCAACCTCACTGATAAGCTCTTTGTAGGAATGAAGTAGCATGGCTCTTTACGTAACATGGTTTGAACTAGGCAAATGCTTCTTAATTTTGGGTAATTATTTCTTCAGAACTGGGGGTATATGTGAAAAATTTCAAGCAAACTTTTTAATCTGAAGCAAGTTTGAAATGAATTCCTCATAGCAAATAATTATAAAAAATTCACAGTGTTTCCCATTATGTTAACCCTATATATGCTCTTAACATCGTATGGTTTAGACAAAACAAATGCTTTTTAAAAGCATTTTATTATTTATTTCTTCAAATCTATGGGTATTTTTCAAAAAAATTGACATTTACTTTTTAATTCAAAACAAGTTTCAAATTAATTTCTCATTAGAAAAAGTTACAAAAAATTCACAAACTGTCCTCCTTTATTCTTATGTATATGCTCTTAACGTAGCTTTGTTTGCACTAAAAATTGCTTCGTGAAAATTTTGGGTTCATATTTACTGACATATACGGGTATTTTTGAAAGAATTGACACTCATTCCTTAACCTTAAGCAAGTTTCAAACAAATTCCTCATTGCGAAAAATTATAAAAAATTCGCAAATTGTCCTCTTTTTCGCCAAATATATATACTCTTAACACATCATTGTTTGGAGTAAACAAATCCTTCTCAAAACTTTTGATTACTTATTTCTTGACACATATGGGTATTTTTGGAAAAATTCACTTTTCTAAAATTGACGCTGAAACTGTAACAAGTTTCAAAATATTTTCTCATTGCAAACAATTATAAAAGATCTGCAATATATCCTTCATTATGCTCTATATTAATTAAATCTATATTAATACTCTTAACGTAGCGTGGTTTGGACTGAATATATGCTTCTTAAAAATTTTGGGTGTTTATTACTTTCATATCAATGGATATTTTTGAAAAATTTGACGCTTACTTTGTAATCTGAAACAAGCTTCAAATGAAATCTTCCTTGCAAAAAGCTCGCAAAGTGTCCTCCTTTATTTTTTTAAATATGCTCATAACGTAGCATTGTTTCGACTGAAAATTGCGTCTTAAAAATTTTAAGTGCTTATTTCTTGTCACTTGTGGCAATTTTTTTTAAAAAAAATTTGACGCTCACTTTATAATCTGAAACAAGTTTAAAATTATTTCCTCTCTTCAAAAATAAAAATAAAAATTCGCAAATTGTCCTTCATTACATTAATTATACATATAGGTTCTCAACGTGAGTAAATAAATTCCTCTTAAAAATTTTGAGTACTTATTTTTTGAAACATATTGGTAATTTTGGAAAAAATAGCTCACTTTGCAATTTGAAATAAGTTTCAAATGATTTCCTTACTACAGAAAATTATAAAATGCTCACAATTCTAAACGTAGCATGGTTTGGACTAAACAAATGTTTTCTAAAACTTTTTGAGTAATTAGTTCTTCTAATCTATGGGGATTTTGAAAAAATTTGACGCATCAATGCTCAAAATTTTTACGAAGCATTTCAGTCCCAAACCATCCTATGTAAAGAGCATATATATATAATTAATATAATGGAAATTATTTTGCGAATTTTTTAAAATTTTTTGCCATTGGAAAATAATTTAAAACTTTTTTCAGATTACAAAGTGAGCATCAATTCTTTCAAAAATAACCATATGTGTCAAAAAATAAGTACTCAAAATTTTTGAGTAGAATTTGCTTAATCCAATAATACGTTAAGAGCATGTTTAAAGTTAGCATATTGGAGGACACTTTGAGAATTTTTTATAATTTTTCAAAGTGAAGAATTCATTTGAAACTTGTTTCAGATTACAAAGTAAGCGTCATTGTTTTCAAAAATACCCATATGTATAAAAAAATAAATTCCCAAAATTTTTAAGAAGCATATGTTTTGTCCAAACCGTACTACATTAAGAACATTAATATAGTAAATATAATAAAGGACAATTTGCGAATTTTTTATAATTTTTTGCAATGAGAAAATAATTTGAAACTCGTTCCAGATTACTAAGTAAGCGTCAATTTTTTAAAAAATAGCCATATTTGTTAAGAAATAAGTAATCAAAAGTTTTGAGAAGAATTTGTTTACTCCAAACAATGATGTTTTAAGAATATATGTATAATTAACGAAAATGAGGACTATTGTGATTTTTTTATAATTTTTATCAATAAGGAGCTCATTTAAGACTTGATTAAGATTAAAAAGTAATCGTCGATTCTTTCAAAAAATACCCGTATATGTAAAAAAAAAAAAAATCCAAAATTTTTAAGAAGCCATTTTTAGTTCAAGCAATGCTACGTTAACAGCATAGAAAAATAAAAGAGGACATATTGCGAATTTTTATTAACTTTTTCCAATGAGTAATTCATTTGAAACTGGTTTCAAATTACGAAGTAAGTGTCAAATTTCTCAAAAATACCCATTGTTGCAAAGAAATAAATACTAAATCTTTTTTAAAAAGCATTTGTTTAGTCATGCAGCGTTAAGAGCATATGGTGGTGGACACTTGGCGAATTTTTTTTAATTATTTGCCTCGAGGAATTCAGATGAAACTTGTTTCAGATAATAAAAATCACGTCAAATTTTTCAAATATACCCATAGTTGTGAAGAAATAAATACCCAAAATTCTTAAGAAACATTTGTTTAGTCCAAACCATGCTACAAAAAAAACCAAGCTACGTCATCTTTACAAAGAGCTTATGAGCGAAGTTGAACTCTCATGCATACTGAAAAAATTGGGTATATCCCATAGCACTATAGTAAGAGAGGTCATCAACCTTAAAAGTGGGGTGTAGCGCTCATTTTTCCCCTACTGAATTGAATGATTTTTAACTTTATTTCCTCAAAAATTAATAATTATATTTTGTTTTTGTTTTTTCGCACTTAAAAATTTATTTGTGACTCATAATGGGCATACATTTTTGAGTTTGGACAAAGAAACTAAAAACATATATTAAGGGTCAGTGATTACGGAACAGCTTTCTATACCATAGAATGTTTTTAAGTAATTCTTGTGTCCTTGGAAGAAGACTAAATTCTTTATTTTTTGCTGATGCATATAGATGGTTATGGTTTTAAAAAAAAATCTGTTTAATTTTTCGAAATTATTTTTTGTAAATTGTATTCAACTATCTTTTTTCAAACTTTTAACTTTTAAGCAATACCGTTACTACGACAGCCTGTTTATATCTAACGGTACTTAACTATTTTCTGATTGTTTTGCCATATAACTCTTTTCATCGCTCAATAGAAGACTTTTTACCAATAAAAATAATGTATGTTGAATATGCAGAAATAATAATAAATCGTCTGCTACGAGATATTTGTGGGGGAAAAAATGTTTAAATATTTAAGTTTTCAAAATTAACTATTGAATGGTTATTTCTGAGAAAAGTAGCAAATTGCGATGAAATTTTCCGCAGTATTCAAATGCATAAATGTTTTCACTGAATCTCTAATGAATAAAACATATAAATGTGGTCTGAGTAAATAAAAGAAAAAGAAATGATGATGAATGTTTAGAACAAAAGTGTTGGGAACTAACTTAATGAAAATAAGTAACAAATCTGGGGTTTGTTTTTACTTAAAACGGTTTCTTATTATATAAATTGATAAAAGTTTAAGAATTCTTAAGGAATTTCCATTTAAATTCATCATATTTATTACTATTTGTATCAATAAAATTTGTATTTGTTTATTGCCTACTCTTTTAATAAGATTATAAGCAATGCCAGCTATTTTATCATGGTGGAACATCACAAATCGTACTGAATACAATTATATAGAGCTAAAATGTAATTACGGATCAACTAATTAGTCCCACGTGACGAACATAAACTGCGCAATGGAGAAAAAATAAGAAGGATGTCACTGTTTACAACGCTGCACAGTGAAGGAAATTCAAACGATGCCATTACATTCGGACTACTAAAGGATCAAACTTCTTGCTTATGGTAACCAGTGCTGAAGCCTTGTCTGTTTTAGGTGGCATTGCTTTGCCCCGAGTATTGTCAGACAAAATTCATAAAGAAATTGCGTTCTTTAAATTTTAAAATTAATAGAAAGCAAATGGAAAATTTTTTAATGTCATTGTTCAATTGTTCAAAAAGTCAAACTTCAAAAATAACACTATTGTTACATTATTATGATAAACTCTTTTTTGTCGATCTTCCCTTTTCGAATTTCGAGTTCTTATCAAGAGCATAGCAGGTTAAGTTACTATCTATGTATTTTCTAACGAGATATTTAACAATTTCTATTTATTTTTCAGGTGCTCTCCGTGAAACTTTTAACTCAGAGGAATGCAAAGAACTTTCTGTCGACCATACTTCCAGGCCAAACAGATTTTCGCTTCTGCAACATTCGATCTGCATCTCGATCGCATCCATCCTGCATAGTGACGTCACCGTCGAGTACCACGGGTCGCATACCGGGTCTTAGCAAGACAGGAATGGTGTCCAGACCCAGAATCAGTGCTGCCCCAGAAAATGGATGGGTGTGATGGGTCCACAAGAAGAATAGATAATTTTGCTAATACGCTGGGCAAAGTTCGTAGCGCTATTGCCGTGGTTTTGTCCTTCTGAAGAACTTATACATTTTCTAATGCAGAATAACCAGGATAAGGTTTTGGTAAGTAAAGGTAACCTAAAGTAATGCTAAAGGAGGTAAATGAAGCTAAGGGAAGGCAAGTTTTGTTCCCCCCTCCCTCTGAATCTCCCAATTATTTTCTTTAGATGCTCTGCTGTATTACTTTGGTAAGAAGAAGCTTTCATAAGTTTATACGAGTCCATTTTTTTATATATATAATATGGGAATTACAAACAATAAGAGGAGAAATAACTTTATACTAATATCCTTGTATCGAAATGAACTCGCTAAATTTCATGTGTCTTCTTACCGTAGCTCTGTAGATAAATGTCAAGAAGTTTTGTTTATATTGGGTGTTCTCAAAATACCACCTTTGCAGTATATTTTTAGAATCCTTGCGGAAATTAAATTCATGTCACTATCAAAACTGTCTGTACACCACGAGATGGACTTCCAGTAGTAGACAATTTGGTGATTGTCGCTATGGTTCTGTGTATTGTAGGTGGGAGGAAAAGCGGCTGCTTATCCATTTACCGTTCTACCTAATCGAATGATTACAAACAGCTAAATGGGTGAACAGTCAATATAAAAGAATAATATGTTTCGATACACTACCAATATGTCTAATGTCGGGAGTTCACGGTCCTGGTGGAAGTTAAGATCACAATAAATATTTAATAGTGAAGTCTAGAATTCAAATGTTTAAATATGATTCAAGCACATTTAAATATAGATATTGTCAATAATGAATTACGTTACATTGGAAAGATATCCTTCTCAATTGAAGAGAGTAGTAGGAAAACATGATAAGTAACATTTTAGTGCAGTAAAGAAAATCAGCATTAATGAATATAGAAACATCAGGAAGCTATTAACTCTTAGCTTCCTGATAAGAATTTTCGTCATTGAAAACAGCTTTAAATGCGTGGGTGTGTTTTGTGCTAGTCTGCCTGCTTGCTTGTATAATCGGAATTTCGTTTGTTTGCAAACTATCACTTGAAATGTGATTCACTATCTCGTCAATTGTTCTGATGTCTAATAAGGAATTAAATTGCTTTTTGATTTTATCTAAAATTGTTTGATGATCTAAATCTGACGTTTTCGTTCACAATAATTGGACTTGACAATGATTATTTAAATTTTGATAAAATGTTTCACTTTTTGGAGAACTTATCCTTTCAATTCATCCCCACAATTGCTCTAAAAATATTCATTTAAGGTGGTGATTTGAGAACACCCTCTATCAAATATCAAATTAGAGTATCAAATATGAAAATTATATTGCATAATAATTTTCACATTGTAGCAATATAATTGTAAGAATGAATATTATCACTCAATAATTATAATATAGTACATGTACCATATACGAATATAATAAGCTTAATTTCTTTAGGCTGATAAATTTACCAGCCTTCTACACACCAAGATTTATTTCGTGAGTAAATTCGCTCTTTTTTGACGAATTCAACTCTTCAATTTAAAAAAAAAAAATAAATTAAAACATCGAAATTTTTTGGTATACGCGTTATTTTCAAAATCATCTCATATGCCGGCCATGTATATTGCTTTAAAATATAAGCGCGTACTTTAAAGACGAGCGAATCGTAAGCTGAAAATCACAATTCGCACAAGAGCTTGCTGAACAAAAACCTATAAAAAAATATAAAATACATTAAAAATCGTAATTTTTAAATTAAAGAAAAAGACAACAAAAAATTGTCAGTTTAAATTGAGATATTTGCCGATAAAAAAAGTATTTTATATAAAGGTGTAATATAAGTAATAAATTTGAACAAAAACTGTTTAAAGTTTGATTAAAACGTTTGGTTGCAAAATTTCTTTCAATATCACTAACTTCAGATGATTTAATGATATGCTATTGAGAACAAGCAGTTATTTTATGTCGCATATTTTTTGTTGCACGAAAGGGAAATATTTTGTTACGCACAAAATGTATTGTTCTCTCTATGCTTAAGTGATTTAAGCTAGAACATGTCTAAAAAAATGGCGTGATTTTCCCTGAAAATTCTTGACTAGTATAATAGATAAAAACACGTTAATTAATTTCTTACGTTATTTTATACGTTTTGAACTAAATTTAAACTAGTTAATAAAATAAATTATGTAAAACAGAGAGACCGCATGCCCGATAATAAATAACTTCTCTTTTTGAAAAATCTAAAAACGGCAGACATAATAAATCAAGCATTTTTTATCTTTTATTCTTACATATCTAACAATTATGATTTTTTTTCCGAACAAAATACATAGAACAAAAAATAACTTATAAGTCATGGTTTAAAATTTAATTTAATTAATTCCTTAATCTGTGTACTATGTCTTAAGAAGGTTTAAAAAATATTCTTTTTTTTAAACAGCAAAGGTTTTTTTCTGGTTTAACAACAATAATTTGTCGAAGCTGTAAAATTGAAGTGCTGTTTAAATCCATATCAGTGATACTACTTCTAGGAATCAAATATTTCCAATGAAAATTATTTTGTTTTCTCGCTTGAAATGCACTGTAATATGAAATGCCACTGAAATCAGTGAGTTAAAAATTGTTGGCTTAGTTAACATCAAACGTTAGGCATCTGATCTAATATTTGGTGTTTAACTAACTCATTACTTAACTGTCGTAAGAAGATAATTCGAAGTCACATCATGGTACGAGTGGTATAGTTAAAATAGGAGTTACTTAGGCGTTTAAAAAACGAGATTTGAGCGAGATGGAAATTTAATGGTGCGAAGGAAAAAGTTTGTGCCAATATTGATGTATAATCGATCATTTTTTGGTGGAATCCTGATACTTAATAAATTAATTTATAAATTAATTTATAAATAAATAAAAATATTTTTAGATCGAAATCTTATTTAATTATTTTGAAACCATTTAATGAATGAATAATGCTGACAGGCTAACCGTGGGAGGTTCTCGCGGTCTTCCTCTCCATGTAACGCAAATACGGGTTAATTCCATCAAAAAAGTCCTCCACAAAGGCAAATTTCTCCCAATACTTGATCCAGAAGTTCCCTTGTCTTCTGGATTGGGTTCAAAATTACAAGGCTACGGAGTTGAACATTGGTAGTCGTAAACCCAAAAATTGGATCAGCTGTTCATCGACGGTTATAAAATATAAAATTTTGCCATCGAGCAGCGTTGGCTCAGGGGATAGAGCATTCGCCTTCCAATGAGGTGAACCTGGTTCGAATCCCAGCAATGGCTGGTTGAAACGAATCCGCATCTGGCTTGCATTGACCACAGTGCTGACGTGAAATATCCTCAGTGGTAGACGGATCATGGGTTAGAGTCCCTTTGCCATCAGGCTAACCTTGGGAGGTTCTTGTGATCTTCCTCTCCGTGTAACGCAAATGAGGATTATCTCCATCAAAAAATCCTCCACGAAGGCAAGTTTCTCCCAATATTTGATCCAGGAGTTCCCTTGTCTTCTGGATTGGGTTTAAAATTACAAGGCTGAGTTGAACATTAGTAGTCGTAAACCCAAAAGTTGGATCGACTGTTCAACGACGGTTATAAAATAAAATACCTATACTTTAATATGAAATTTTTGAAGCTCAATCGTCTTCTTACGGTAGCTGAAGTATGCAACATTTTTTAAAAAGGGCTATTGTTTTCAGACCAGCCTTTGGAAAGTCAAATGACCAAACAGTTTGCAATCTCTTCTAAAATATGGTTCATGTCTCATTAGGAATTCTGTCAATTATAACAATTCCAAATTAAGAAATATTTAGTAAACTTTGTATAGCCATTATTGTATTAAAAATTAATGAAATGTATTTTGATGTAAAAAAAATTGTTTTCTTTGTGTTCTGCAAAAAGCTTTGCTACTGTCAATTGCACATCATGATGAAAAAAATATAAGTAAATTTAGAAAAAGAATATGCACTTGTGATCAAACTCAGTAATTCTTTTTTATCCTGAGCACAAATTACATTTGTTTTGTACATACATACATATATGTATTTCCTTCATGTTGACATTGTTGTTTTTTGATGTGGACAATTGTACAGCTTACTACATTCTTTTAATATGATATGCTGTGATATTACCTAGTCATAATCCTTATTATGTAGTCAGCTTTTATTACCGAGGAAGATTGACTTCTAACTAAAAGAAATTAAATTTGTTTTTCTCTAGTGTCCAAGTAAAAAACACACCAATATCACATTTAATATAATAAATATATTAAAACTATGCAATATCCTATACTCAACTTCTTGCCTGAAAAGTTAATGAGCCAGACTTAGTTTACTACATTTGATTTCTAAACATCGAGTACGTTAATAAGATTTGTGTTCTATACAGTATAATCATCAGTTTTTAACACTCAATTTTTCTTTAAATAATTAAAGTTCAATACTTTTTAAATAATAATGTTGTTTCTGTGTGTAAAGCAGTTTGTTATTTCAAAAACACATGACTTTTAGATCTACTATGAAAATTTCATGTAATTCCATAATATATTAGCTGAGATATTCCTCGCAATGCATATCGCGTAAAATTTATTAATTTTAATTATTAATTATTGGTTGTTACTATTCCAAGTATTATGTAATGTATTAATAATTTTCAGTAATTGTTATTAGGTGATTGTTTTCAGTAATTTTTAGAAAAATTTTTATACTATTTTTAGTCACAAAAAAGAATTTTTTTAAAAAAAATATGTCCAGTTTTGTGTTTAAACTCATTTATCTCAAAATACTATTTTTACACCTTGCGCGCACAATATCTCTGAAACTATTAATTAGAATATACACAAAATTTTTACAGCAGGTCACAAATACTTCTTTCTTTAAAATAGCGAAGCCATTTGAAGGTGGGATTAATGTTTTGACATTTAAAAAATGAAATAACAGTTTTAAAAAATTTTTTATTTAAAAAACATTTTTGTATAGAGAAAAACGTAAAATAATTTGTTCAATCTTCGTCATTTTAGTTTTACCATATATTTCCATACTCACAAAAAAAATCAAACAAATAATATAAAAACTTTTTCCAGAAACTTGCGCTCGAAGGAAAACAGAAAAATTTAACTGAATTAAAATTTTAATTAATTAAGAAATTTCTACATTTTTAAAAATATTTTTTGCATTGTTTTCAAAATGTAGAATATGTATAGTGTCATATTTCACAATTTTGTATTTTTAGAATAATCATTGTAAAATTGGCAGATGGTTGAAAATTGCTCGTTTTCCCTCATTTTTTACCTTTTAAAAGTTATGTGAGGCCTTAAAACTATGCAATATCCAAATTGTTACCTGAAAAGTTTATGAGCCAGATTTAGTTTACTACATCATTTGATTTCTTAACATCGAATACGTTAAT